AATAGATGGATTGAATGGCTCTGTGAATAGATGGATTGAATGGCTCTGTGAATAGATGGATTGAATGGCTCTGTGAATAGATGGATTGAATGGCTCTGTGAATAGATGGATTGAATGGCTCTGTGAATAGATGGATTGAATGGCTCTGTGAATAGATGGATTGAATGGCTCTGTGAATAGATGGATTGAATGGCTCTGTGAATAGATGGATTGAATGGCTCTGTGAATAGATGGATTGAATGGCTCTGTGAATAGATGGATTGAATGGCTCTGTGAATAGATGGATTGAATGGCTCTGTGAATAGATGGATTGAATGGCTCTGTGAATAGATGGATTGAATGGCTCTGTGAATAGATGGATTGAATGGCTCTGTGAATAGATGGATTGAATGGCTCTGTGAATAGATGGATTGAATGGCTCTGTGAATAGATGGATTGAATGGCTCTGTGAATAGATGGATTGAATGGCTCTGTGAATAGATGGATTGAATGGCTCTGTGAATAGATGGATTGAATGGCTCTGTGAATAGATGGATTGAATGGCTCTGTGAATAGATGGATTGAATGGCTCTGTGAATAGATGGATTGAATGGCTCTGTGAATAGATGGATTGAATGGCTCTGTGGATTGATGGATTGAATGGCCTTGTGGATAGATGGATTGAATGGCTCTGTGAATAGATGGATTGAATGGCTCTGTGAATAGATGGATTGAATGGCCTTGTGAATAGATGGATTGAATGGCCTTGTGGATAGATGGATTGAATGGCCCTGTGAATAGATGGATTGAATGGCCTTGTGGATAGATGGATTGAATGGCTCTGTGAATAGATGGATTGAATGGCTCTGTGAATAGATGGATTGAATGGCTCTGTGAATAGATTGATTGAATGGCTCTGTGAATAGATGGATTGAATGGCTCTGTGAATAGATGGATTGAATGGCTCTGTGAAAAGATTGATTGAATGGCTCTGTGAATAGATGGATTGAATGGCTCTGTGAATAGATCGATTGAATGGCTCTGTGAATAGATTGATTGAATGGCTCTGTGAATAGATTGATTGAATGGCTCTGTGAATAGATTGATTGAATGGCTCTGTGAATAGATGGATTGAATGGCTCTGTGGATAGATGATTTAATGGCTCTGTGAATAGATGGATTAAACGGCTCTGTGGATAGATGGATTGAATGGCCTTGTGAATAGATGGATTGAATGGCTCTGTGAATAGATGGATTGAATGGTCCTGTGGATAGATGGATTGAATGGCTCTGTAAATAGATGGATTGAATGGCCTTTTGGATAGATGGATTGAATGGCTCTGTGAATAGATGGATTGAATAACCCTGTGAATAGATGGATTGAATGGCTCTGTGAATAGATGGATTGAATGGCTCTGTGAATAGATGGATTGAATGGCTCTGTGAATAGATTGATTGAATGGCCTTGTGAATAGATGGATTGAATGGCTCTGTGAAT